CCCCACTTTACAGGGCTAATCCTGTAAGGTAAGGAAGGCAGGAAGGAAACATTCTAGTGTTGTTTCTAGCCTAATCTTTATTGACCTGCTTACAGAAACTGCCTCTCCGGTTAACCCTTATTACATTATAACAGCTAAGGCGACCTGAGTGACCTTGAGTTGGCCAAGCCCACCCAGTCACATGACCACCGAGCCCCACCTACCCAGATAATCATTAGGGCAGAGAACTGTTAACTTGTTAAATTATTTGAATCCCACCACTGAAACAGACCCAATCTTAGTAATCCCTCAAGAATACTCTAATCTTAAATACCTTACCCTATTAGCCATTGTTTCATCTTATTCTATGATTCTGATATTTATGAATCAAGATACATGCTGGTCAGGAACATCCTTGTCCATCAAACACGATGGATTTTATTTATATACATACTGCCCACTATATTGAAGTATCTCAAAGTGATTAATGAAAATATGAAAAAAATCGGTGGGATTCAATTTTTTTATTACCAGTTCTGTGGGCATGGCTTGGTGGGTATGACTTGGCTTGGTGGGTGTGGCCAGGGAAGGATACTGTAAAATCTCCATTCCCTCCTGATCATCTATTCTCTATAGATGGGGGGGGGGGGGGCAGTCAGAGGTGGTATTTACCAGTTCTCCAAACTACTCAAAATTTCTGCTACCGGTTCTCCAGAACTGGTCAGAACCTGCTGAATACCACCTCTGGGAAAAAATTGCACATATAAAGTATATGTTAAAGAGTTGGGAAGGCTTGGGTGAAGAGATCAGTTTTCAGGAGGCACTTTAAAGGTGATATAGAAAACACCTCCTTCCCTTCCAAATTTCAGAGGAAAGAGCTAGTAGAAGAAAACCTACCACAAACAACCCTTAGAAGAGCTTTCAATGTTTCTTGTTATATAGGACCTTTCCTGAAGATCTGCTTTACCAATCAGATCTATAACAGTGAAAGTTGGTGGGTATCTTCTTAACAAGTTGGCAAAGTCTTCTGTCATATAACCAAAACTTTGAACTTTTAAATGGGTAATTGGCAGTGATGCAGTTATTTCTACAAATGTGTAATGTAGGTGGCCACTTAACTACTACTGAGAAACTTGGCTGATATATTCAGCCTCAGCTGCACCTTTGAAATTAATCCGAAAGAGTGCATTATATTTGTGTTCTATAACTATATGAAATTATATTCTATGTTAGGTCGTTGGTATGCTACTCCTAGGATTGCCTGCACTCACCAGTAGCAGCAATCTGGCAGAAATTTTATTCTGCCCTCTCTGAGCATCTTTTTCAGTGGAGAGGCTAAAGAATTGACTTTGGGATTTCTGCGTGGAAAGCATTGCTAAGGTTTGAGCCATGAATATATGCCAGGGGTGGGATTTCAAAATTTTAGCAGGGGATTCTCTGCCCAGTTGCTGGGTGGGGGTGTCCATGGTGGGCGCGGCCTAATTGGCCTCCTGCACCACGGGGGGAGGGGGGCATTTTTCCTCGAGCTTCCGGGTGGGTGAAAATGGCCTCCCCATGCTCTGGAGGCCAGAAATGGGCCCGTTTCTGACCTTCCCAAACTTCCAGTAGGCCCGTTTCACCAACCTCCCCCCCCCCCGAGCCTCTGCACATGCCCTGCACTTAACTGCATCTAAAATGGGTGGACAGGGCCAGCCAGGAGTTGGATTTGGGGGTTCTCTGAACTGCACAGAATCTTAGCTAGAGGTTCTCCTGAATCCCTGCAAACCCACAGCAGCCCACCCCTGATATCTGCCAGTTAATTAGCAATAGCAATAGCAGTTAGACTTATATACCGCTTCATAGGGCTTTCAGCCCTCTCTAAGCGGTTTACAGAGTCAGCATATCGCCCCCAACAATCTGGGTCCTAGAAAGAGTGCAGAGAAGAGCAACCAAGATGATTAGGGGGTTGGAGGCTAAAATATATGAAGGATGGTTGCAGGAACAGGGTA